ATAGTGCGGCATTATTCAACTTTGAATTTTTTATGTTACAATTTTTCGTTAGGAAAATGTTTTAGGTAGTCAGAAATTTGAATTTAAATTAATAAATTCTAAATTTATTTGAGACAATTTTATCGGATCTAAAATTTGATCAGACCATAATTGATTTTTGATAATTTCGAATAAGGCTTATAATAAGGTTAAGTGGCAAGTTGGTCAGAAGAATATTTATTTTAGTAACTCTTTATATATGAGAGGTAGTCGGCTATATTTGACATGTGTGCGAGTCGGGTATATGGTCAGATTGAAGCGTGGAAGCACATATCGTCGGACAGCTGAGTTAGTGCCTACTCTGGTACGAATGTAAAAGAACAGATAGGGTAAGGGTGCGTTTATTATGGAGACCATCGCATGCTATCCTCGCCTAGATGATAGCACTGACAGTGAAATGAAGGCTCGCATTTAAAATAATGCATTTATTTTACGTGGCAATGATAAAATGATACTATCCTATGATCGAGGGTCGGCGCCTCGTTATGAACGCACACTAAGTACATGATTTACACCAATCGTGTACAATGTATTTGGAAATGCACGATATCACAGTTTTTATGGCAGCAGATTACAGGACAGTTAAAGTAAACAAATAATAAATATGTATACAGAGTGGCCCAAAAGTCTGGAAACGGCTAATTATCTCGTAAAATGCTAATCATAATTGTACACAATTTGAGGTACACCTATTTTGGGATACGGAGATTCCATATTTGATATTTGCAATGTTGCCAGATTTGCCGTTTTTCTTATATTATTAGTAACTTTGGTTTTTCAAATACATCACCCTGTATATTCAATCTGGAAGGTCATAAATACATAAAACCGAAGTCTGGCAACGCCTAAATGGTTTCAATAAATTTTTTAATACTAACTATTTTCAAATACATTAAAACGTATCAATTGATAGTTTAGAACATTTTTTTAACATAGTAGTTACGTTATTAAGTGTTCAAAATGTGCTTAATTTGTGAGTTGACAGCATCCTAATCGATGATGGTAGATGCGTCTACCACATTTCTCCATGATTATCTAGAAATTATTCGAGATTCATTGATAATTCCTTGCCTTAGCTCTGCAAGACTTGCTGGTTAAGTTTTTGTAAACTGAATTTTTCAAGTATCCCTAATAAAAATAATCTTTAGGATTGAAATCGGGTGAACGTGGAGGCCATTTAATTCTACCTTGTCTACCAATTTATCGTCCAGGAAACATCTCATCTAAATATCGCCGAACATTGACACCAACTATCTGACGTTAAATTTCTTTAGACAAAAAATGACCCAATTGAATAAGTTACTACTATATATGACCATACATTTAATTTTTGTGGTCTTTGAGTATGGTTTTCACGCGTTCAGTCTTCAGTGTAAATTTACGTCACACCAGTACCTTAAATTCGGAAACGAAATTTCTGTTAACGAAATTTTAATAATTTTAAATTTTATCCATCATTACCTCAGTAAACTCTAATTTACGACCAAAGTCTTCACTTAATTCTTGCAATAAGTTAATTTTGTATGATTTAAATTTATTTTTACGTAATAAACGTAAGACTGAAGAATGACCTACATCATGTACTTGTGCAACCCTGCCTGGGGATGTATGTGGATCTTCAACAAACTTTGCTTATATCTGAAGTTTTGTTGTCATTAATAACTCGTTTTGTTCAACCTGATCGGTATCTATCTTTTACTTCCCCAGATTCCTCAAATCGCCTTACAGTTTTTTGTACCGTCGTCTTATGAATAGGAGAACGGTTTAGAGAACGGCATTTTAGAGAAGCAATTTAAATTGCAGAACTTTTTGAACCACTGTCAATTTAGTTCATAATTTAAATGGTGAACAGATGTCAAAATCACAGCATTCTCCACTTAAATATTTAAATTTATTAAAATCTACATATTTTGCACTGTTTTATGTGTTTAAGATCTTTCAGACTACATAAAATCAAGTGAACATATGGTTGAACTCGTATTGAATAGCTGAACTCGTGTGAAATTCACGCTAAATGCGTGAAAACAATAATCAAAGACCACAAAAATTAAATGTATGGCCAGTTATAGTAGGTACTTATTTAATTGGGCCATTTTTTATCGAAAGAAATTTAACATCAGATAGTTGGTGTAAATGTTCTGCGTTATTTAGATGAGATATTTCCCGGACGATAAATTGGTAGACAAGGTAGAATTAAATGGCCTTCGCGTTCACCCGATCTCAATCCTAAAGATTATTTTCATTAGAGATACTTGAAAAAATCAGTTTACAAAACTTAACCAGCAAGTCTTGCATAGCTAAGGCAATGAATTATCGATGAATCTCGAATAATTTCTAGACAATCATGGAGAAATGTGGTAGACGCAATTCTACCATCGAATAGAGTGCTGTCAACTCACAAATGGAGTACATTTTGAACACTTATGTAAATATAACGTAACTATTATGACATGTTAAAAATATTCTAAACTATCAATTGTTACGTTTTAATGTATTGAAAATAGTTATTATTAAAAAATGTATTGAAACAATTGCCAGACTTCTGTTTTATGTATTTAAGACCTTCCAGACTACATAAAATCATAAGTGTTACATATGGTTGAACTCATATTTAATAGGAGATTCCAATAATGACTGAATATACAGGGTGGTGCATTTGAAAAACCAAAGTTACTAGTAATATAAGAAAATACTGAAAATCTGGTATCCCAAAATAGGCGTATTCCAAATTTTGTGTAATTATGTCTAGTAATTTACGAGATAATTAGCCGTTTCCAGACTTTTGGGCCACTCTGTATATTCTTGTCTTAGTTTTGTATAAGAACATATAAAAATAATATGACCAAATAAAATTTTAATATTACTTAGCTGGTTCTTAATGAAAGTATTTTGTACTTGAACAGAATATGTAGATGCCAATATTTGTTTAATAAAATTACCGCAACATTTAGGATAAGAAAATTTGAAATAATTTTTAAATTTTTCATCACTGGTTCATGACATACGTTGGGCATTACTAGCTGTCATGAAACTGTGCTATCAATCATTTTCAGAGTACAGGAAACAATTTTAAAAATATTAATGATATATCATTAAAGACATTATATTATCATCAAATGTAAATAAAACAAAATGCTACAAACCGTTGCGTTACAAGCATTTTCAAGAAAGATAGATGTCTGTGAGAGCGCCCACCAGAGTGGCGTGGCAAGTAGCAAGTAGCACGCGTGTAGCATGTTACTTAAAATGTAACCCATGACAAAAAATTATTCAGTTCACACCAAAATGAGAGTGACGTCATTCATTCTAATCATTCGTTTGGATTGGTTACATTTTAAGTAACATGCTAGACGCGTGCTACTTGCTACTTGCCACGCCACTTTGGTGGGCGCTCTCACTTATGAGAACCAATCGTACCGGTGTACGCTTCAGTCGCAGGCCATTTTATGTTATATCTTGCACATCTATCGACTCATAGTCATACTGCCTCTGATTTGTTTTATTTATTTGTTCCATTCGGGCAAATATCATTTTTAACAATTTTCCTAAAATTAAGAAAGAGTAAAATGCTTCGCCAAATTTTTGACCCGAAATAGTAATCATACTTATGTATTATTTTATTGAATACTAGAATAAAAGTGTAAAAAGATAAAACATTTAATAATGTTATGTACTTTGTGGTCTCTAATGTGGTTTGTAAAATAATACTACTAACTACTAACTCTAGGTAAAACCCTAAATTGTAAAAACAATCTTTATTTTTAAACATAAAGGACGCTCCTTTATGGAGGACGCTGTCCTCATCAGCTATCAAATGTAGGAAAATCTTATAGATGATTCTTATCTTATAGTAAATATAGTGAAATTAAAAGAAATTGGCTAGGTGGTCAACGCTAACTTAACTTTTAAAGTACTTTTTAATAAACTATCTCCTATGGTGTTGACAACCTTGAGAAATTTCTTTTAATTACACTCCATTAAAATTCTCCTACATTTTATAGCTGATGATGACAGAGATACCGAAACGCGTAATATGTGTTGAAAATAAACATTGTTTTTACAATTTGTGGTTTTACTGAAAGTTACTAATTGTATTATCTAACATTTAAGGCTCTATGAGAATATTTAAATGTTAGTATAATATAAAGAGGTTTTAAAACTGTTTTCTTGTGACATGTAAAAGTTAAATATTGTATGTATATTAAACCGCACTTGATTCTGTATGCACGCGGGACGTCCCGTCCCATACTTTATCTCGCATTTTGTCCCGCGGAACGTGATGGGACACATGTCCTGCAAAAACTACACTTCTATTATTATCGAAATGATTTGGTAATTAAAATTATACAAGTATCTATCTGCAATATATTTGTAACCCAAAAATATTTATAGAAATTAGAATAATTCATATTGATGAAACATAATTAATCGATTTAGAATAACAGAAAATTTTAAAATGTTTTCAACATTTTGCGGTACACGACTGATATGCATTTTTTTTGGTTAGGTCCTACATTACGGTGATACCATCAGATGATGATACCTATGAATCTAACCGTGAACGTGATAAATAAAAAGAAATAACAGATTTCTTTTAGTAAAAAAAATGTGTTTTTGTTAAACATTTCCATTTTATACGCAATCTTAAAAAAATTACTACCCTATAGTGGTATAAATGTTATTTCTTTTTATGCAATTTTTGCAATTTTTGATGAGTGCCAAAATATAATAGTAATTTGTTACTTGGTTTGGTAATTTGTGCATTGCTAAAAGATCAGCATTGTTAAACAACATATTTTTTACATTTTTTAGAACAATAATATAATTACTATCGATCAGCATTTCTATCCCCTATACTGGTAACCATTTTTAATGAAATAAAGACCTTTTTGCTTCTTTGTATTCATTCAGTTTTTCCTTCATATTGCTTTTCATTTGCAGTAATTATTTACTTGTTTTAGTATGGATTAAAGAAGAATGGAATCAACGGGATTTAAGTAATGAGGACAACGTAGCAGACCCAAATTTTACGCCTGAAGTAGAGTGTCATGTACAATTAAGTGTTCCGTCATGCTCTTATGCCCCTAAAAAATCGAGAAAAAGTAAATTCGATAACTTTTATGAAATTGCCAACGATCGGTTAAGCGCGACATGCAAATTATGCTTATCTGTAAAGAAAAAAAATGTTAAGCTGAGTATGTCCCACAGAAGCACATCGGGATTAAGAAAACATCTACGCCGTGCTCATATAGACGAGTACAATCTACAGTTTCCGGAAAATATTGTGCCAACAGATTCCCCTCAGAAGACTTTGAAATAAGAAAGCTTACAGTGATTTTTAACACCTATAACCAAAAGTAATCATTAATAAACAATATTTAAGATTAACAAAATATATAATTATTAAATTAAAACGTGGAGCTTATTTTATCTTCCTCTCCTGGTCTAAATTTTCAAAATATACTACAATAAAACACTGAAATTTTCTTATTGAATTTCCTGAATATGGTATGATATGATATGCAAGAAATTCCGAACAAAGAAAAAATTTTATTTAATACATTGTATTCGTTCCGTGCGTAGCCATGGTAGGGGTACCTTGAAACGATGCCAGCGTGCGTATCGGCGAAATATGACAAAATTGGACCTATTTTTACGCACAGATTTTATCAAAAATAGGTGCAAATACATGTTGCGTATTTAAATTGTGCTAATAAGAGCAAAAATAGTAAGTGTAGTTTTTATAAGTTTCCAAAGATTAAATATAAATTGCAGAAAAGAAAAAGAGGGGTTAGTGCTATTAATATGAAAAAGTAAATATCAAATAATTTCATTTTTATGCAATGAAAATAGCAAAAATTTTAAAAAATTTACCTTGAATGGTATTTCATAAGGGTTCAAGCTTACTGCAGCCTGCCTGATAACTGCACTTTAGCTGTTATCACAAATCACCTACCTCTACATGCTCTTCCACATGAAAAACTTGATTTTCCAGTACTAGATTTTTTTCTTTCTTTCCGTTTAGGGTTAAAAAGATAAATTATGATGAATATTTAGAAACCCGGTTTTTAATACTACATTTATTTTGTACATAAACTGAAAAAATATAATTAAAAAACTATTTATTAATAATTGTCAATTTCGTATGTATGTAACATATGTTTAACCTCAAATTGGGATGTCCAAAACTGTCAGATGAAGGCGGTAGGTGTCGCGTCAGTCACGCACGGAGCGAATAGGAAAAGGTGCTGCTTATAGAAACTAAAAATAGCTGCAGGACTACACAAATGAAAAAGTGAGGGACACGTGACGGGACAAGAGCATGTACCGCGTCCCGCTGGCATCTAAATATTCCATATTAGTCCAGGCTGTGAGGCCGCCTCCCGTTGGGAAAATGTTTCTGATTCGGTTTCTTCGCGGATTCCGGTTCAAAATGGTCCCCTTTAAACAAATCTGAAGGGTGCCGGGCGAAATTTTTGGGCAGAAATTGTTTAAACAATTTTTTTAAACAAAGTCCAAAAATAATTTTTTTTTTAATCTAGAAAACATTTTTTTTGGGTTTTTTGGGCCATTTTAAACAAAAAAAGTCACGTCTCATTTTTCTCTAAAAATGATAGTTTTTCGAGTTATAAGCGATTTTAAGTCTGAAAAACGCGAAAATACGCATTTTTGAGGCTTGAAAACACATATGTAAATTATTATTTTTGAGGTTACCAAGTGTCTAAATTAAAGTTTAAACATTCAACTTCAAGATTGTGAAGAGTAATCGGGGCTTATTTTAATTTAGACCATTGTTTTTTAATTGTTAAGTATGCGCGTACACTCGATTTTTCAGCCGCCGTGGCGCCGCGCGCTACCGTGCGCCTCTATCGTACCTATAGCATAGTTTACATATACTTACAAATAATTATTATTTATTGAGTATATATTTATTTATATCAATTGGGTTATAATATAAATTTCGTCTAAAGTCTAATAATAGTTACATAAAATAATTGTACAAAAGATTGTTAAATAACACACTAATATCACTCAGTAAAAGTATCTTTGTTTTCACAAAAATCTAAATCACATCCACATAATGGTACACAGTTGATATGATTTTTCTTGCAGTTGCAAGCATTAGTTTTGCAAGTCTTTTTGCATTGCACGGTTTCACAACCCACCACTATCAGACATATAATATCCATATTGTGTAAAATCGAGAGTGATAGCGGGAATATATGGCATTTCGCCAAATATATGTTTTAGCGAAAGCTCTTAACAAGTGTTGGTAAAGTGCGTCAGAGGTACAAGGTATATTGGCTAATTAAATTAAATTTTTCAGTCACACTGTCTTTTCGTCGAAGAGCAGCATTTTGTATTGTTATGTAAAAATCTACTTTAGGTTTTTGCACTAACTTAATATTGTTGATGTTATTACAAAAAATACAAACTAAATTTTCTTCGGTAAGTTTTCATTTAAGAAGAGGTACGGAAAAAGACATTTTAAATCCATTCACATTTTTTTTTAATAACACATTAATAATATAATACCCTTTTAATGGACATTAAACAATAGTCTTCCTAATGATCGTTTAAGTAATAACAAATCAAGTATGAGCGCGCGATTGTTAAACAGGTAAAAACTTGCATTTTTGCGATAGTATATTGTTTTTTAAACACCGCGCAATTTAAAATTAAGTTTACTAATATTAATATTTACTGCATTGTATTATTTAAATAATAATTTAAAAATATTATTTACAATTGATACAAATAAATATATACTCAATAAATATCTAATAATTATATTGTTCAAATTTGGAAGAAAAAAAAACTATATACGGTTATTACATTGCGATGATTGATTTATTTAATTAACCCAATGACAATAATTAATACCTACATAAATAAATTATGGAAAAACTATGTTAATAAACTTCAAGATTTGTTCGGGTTTTTTTGCGTAAGTGTATATGTAACTATGCATAAGTACGATAGAAGCGCACTCTAGCGCGCCGCGCCGCGGCGGCTGAAAAATCGAGTGTACGCGCATATTTAACAATTAAAAAACAACGGTCTAAATTAAAATAAGCCCCGATTACTCTTCACAATCTTGAAGTTAAATGTTTTAAACTTCAATTTAGACACTTGGTAACCTTAAAAATAATAATTTACATATGTGTTTTCAAGCCTCAAAAATGCGTATTTTCGCGTTTTTCAGACTTTAAATCGCTTATAACTCGAAAACTATCAACTTTAGATAAAAATGACTAGAGACCTTTTTTATTTAAAATGACCCAAAAAACCTAAAAAAATGTTTTCCAGATTAAAAGAAATATTTTTTGAAATTTGTTTAAAAAAAATTGTTTAAACAATTTCTGCCCAAAAATTTCGCCCGGCACCCTTCAGATTTGTTTAAAGGGACATTTTTGAACCGGAATCCGCGAAGAAACCGAATCAGAAACATATTCTTAACGGGAGCGGCCTCACAGCCTAGACTATATATGTATTTTTCACCTAAGACTTTTCTATTGGTCCTCTGCGACAGGCGGCCATGTTTCAACCATAAGCGACGAGGTGCCAAACACGTATATGGAATGTTACGTTAGTGCAAAATTTATATACTGGAATGTTAAATATTCGTAGACCCAAAAAGACGACTTCTCATTCAAATCATAAAAGGAGAGTAATTTTAAAATATTTGGTTAATGTATTATTGAATAAAAACGTCAATCAGTGCAGTAGGAAATAAAACAAACTATATTTAAATAAATAATAAGTTTAAATAAGTATTAAACATCATCAAATAAGTTTTAAACAAGTTTAAATGATTTTTAAAATTTAATATTTATACGAAATTCAATGCCCTTCGGCATTTGTTTGCAGTTGTTTGATTTGCTACTATGTTGGACGAAAGATTGTGATCCTTTTAAACCTTTTTTTAGCGCTTTTTGAGACTAATCCCCCCTTCTTCGTGTCTAGGCTACCCTTTATTTGTTTCAGAAACTCGGCGTAAGATTTTCCGCCACCTTTCACGATCACCTTCTGCGTCCCCGCCCTATTTTCTTCTTGTTCATACTCCTCCAGTACGACCCTAAATGTGACTTCAAGGAGCTTCCTGAGGTTCCTACCTCTGTAGCCGCCCACTACTTGTAGGCATGCCTCTCTGGTTCCTACAATCCTCTATGTCTTCCCTTAATTTAGACAGAATTGCCAGGGTAGTCTCGTCTCCCCATCCATTTCCGTCTCCCTGTTTAGATATTCAAAACAAATGTATATAACCTCTAATTTTTTGTAAGTTATTCAAAGTGTCTCCTTTTCCTAGTTTATATTAGTTTGACATTCAAAAATGAGTAGTGAAAATCGCAGAAGTTGTGTTAATAATCCTGATGTGTTTTATTACGTTTGATGGGAGTATACATTATAAGAAAATAGAAAAAGTATTACAGACTTTGTGAAACATGCATGTCTTGGATAGTGTAGTGTTCGGCTTGGTGATCAAGGTAAAACATGGGCATCGCATACTGTATGTAAACATGCACAGAACACTTACGGCAGAAGACCACAGGAAAAGTACTAAGTTTGGCGTGCCAATGGTATTAAGAGAACCTACAAATCACGTTGATGACTATTATTTTTGCCTGATCAGTATTTCAGGGATCAATCGCCAAAAGTGTTTATATCCTGAATTGCCTTCAGCCAGACCCCGCAGTACCCCACTCAGAGGAATTACCGATCCCAGTATTCCAAAAGTTACCTAATATTTGTGAGGATGAAGGTGACATTTTTGAACATATTTCTGACTCTAATAAAGACAGTGTCAAACCCACAACTCGGAACTTCTGGCTTCAAGATTAAATGATAAAAATTAACTGATACAAGGCACAAAAATTACTTTTTACAGAACAAGGGACAAGGAACTGCTACCGTACTTTAACCAAAAAATAAACTTTACTTTTATTTGGAAGTTAAAGGGCTGTTGGAGAAAATGGGACTTCCACACTATGATGCAAATTAATGTTTGTTTATTGACAGTTTCAAGCGCAGTTTTGAAATGTGTTCTGTTTCACAATGGAAACAAGTTTGACTCTAATACCAATTGAGAATGAAGAATGTGCTACAATAACGAACATCGCTGGGTGATTTGTGTAGACTTGAAAATGGTAAACTTTCTTCTTGGGCAGCAACGCGGTTACACAAAATATTCTTGTTTTTGTGACTTTCTTTAGTCGAACTAGAGAAAATAATCTTACAAACCCCTCCATATCAAGCTAGATCTAATGAAGCAATTCGTTAAGCAGCTTGATTCTAATGGACTATGCTTCGCCTACATAG